AAACTGAATGTGACTTTTCTACACATGACATACCCCTTTTGCTGTCTATTTATGTATTTTAATATTTTATTTTCTATATGTATTTTAAGTATTGTCACATTGGCACTTGAACAGGTGTATAATCAGCCTATTTTTACTCTTTATTTTTTGTTGGCTTTTTTTTTTTTTTTTGCTTGATGCTTTTTTGCTTGATCAGCTCATTATAAATAATCCAATGCAACAGTCTGGCTTCTTTTCAGTCTGGTTAGAAACATAATCCAGTTGCATGGTAAAAAAGGCCACAGATGCAGCGAGAGATTTTGGATGATATTCGAGTGAATTGCTCCTTTATTTGTGACACAGATGAAAATGTTGATTATAATTCAAAGCCACAGTTCTCTCATTATCCTTGTTATGATGTGGATTAATTAGCAATTAAACTCATGATCCCATAAATCTGTAGTGGATCTGCTGTGTATCATGGGATGTTATTCTCGGGATAGTGAAGTAAATACACATCTCACTGTGAAAGGATATGCACATACATGCCTGTTATTAGGTATTCTGTGGCGTTTTCTAACAGATGGAGTAAATACAAATTGAAATTCAGACTCTTACATACGCAGATATGCCAGCAAAGTTACTTGAGCAAAGATGAAAACATGTACTGCATACAAATACATACAGCTCATGGTGTTTTGTACCGAGTTGTGTGCAGCTCATCAAATTTTCATTTAATGAATTCACTACATTTTCATATTTGTCATTGTCTATGCTGTTCATGCACGATCATCCCCTTTTTCACAGTTCAATCAACATATTAGGATATATTTTAATCCCAGATCATTGTTTTCACTGGTTGTTGAGGTGTGGATTGGAAATTAAGGCAGGCAGATCTAAAGAAATTCACATCATACACATCTAGCTTTCAGCATTTCCAGTACATCTCTCCTCTGGTCCAGTGTAAAACTGAAAACTAAATCAAACCACCACAGTGCTGTTTGAGATATATGAGGAGAATATTTATCGATTCCTGGTAGGACTTCCCCCTAGTAGTTGAGTAAATTGTTAGTTGACGAGGAGAGTCTTAGTCGATGCACTTTTCACCTGCGCCTTGTCACCAGGACGATTGTTTCAGCACAAACCTCTTCTCTCGTACCACAGCGCTGCTGCATGTGCTAACTGCTAATGAGCTGCTGCCACTAGTATAGGGGTCGTATCAGCTGACTTTACCTGGACTGTAATCTCAAAGTAGCCGGGAGGCCTGTTTACAACACGAGCTTTGGACTGCCTTAATTTCTGGCAAGAAAATAATGATCACTTTGTATGACATTGGTAGTGTGCTTGAATCGACCTACTACCCCACAGTTAAACATTTAGGATGTTTTTTATAATCAGAGAATTGAAGGATTGGTTTTGGCCTACGCCACAGCAGTATGGGTTTGGTTGAGCCTTGCAAGCAAACAAGCACATCTGGTCAGAGTTAGTGGATTTAGAAAAAAATAACTGCTACATCATGGTGGGTCACAATAGAAATACAAACAAAGCAACTCTGAATGATTATCCGCATATGGGTTCATTGCTGCAGGACAAATTGGATGAAAAATTTGATGAATAGCTATTTGTCCAGTAGGATGCAGTCTGGGTTTTTAATGGTAGTTTTTCCTCCCTAAATACTAACAGTGCGGCTTGCCCCAAGTGATTTGCCTTTGGCCATTTTTCTTTTCAATATTTACTAATGACAGGCCTTATGATTTGGATAAGTGCAGTGCTTGTCTTTTTGCAGATGATAAAACTATACATTTTGTATCAATTATATGTAAGAACAGACCTGTTTTAAATGGAACAAAAGTATTATGTTCAGGGCAAGCAGAGCTACAAATAATAATAATCACTGAAAGACTTGAATATTGAACAGGTTCAAGAAGCATATTTTCTTGGTCTCACGCTCAATGAGAAGCTATCATGGCAGAAACATTTTGAAAATATTAGGAAAATGGGCAGTGGGATATCATGCATTATCAGATGTTCTTATATCGTTCTATATCAGATGATGTTTTCTTACCCCTACCCTCTAGAGCACTAGTGACAGACACTAGTTTTACCTCA